TCCTATACTCACAGGGGTGTGGGTGTACATATGTATAAATAAAACTAAATCTATTTCTATTCCTATACCACAGGGGTGTGGGTGTATGTATCCATAAATAAAACTAAATCTATTTCTATTCCTATACTCACAGGGGTGTGAGGGTATATGTGTATAAGTAAAACAAAATCTATTTCTATTCCTATACCACAGGGGTGTGGGTGTATGTATCCACAACTAAAACTAAATCTATTTCTATTCCTATACTCACAGGGGTGTGGGTGTACATATGTATAAATAAAACTAAATCTATTTCTATTCCTATACCACAGGGGTGTGGGTGTATGTATGCAAAACTAAAACTAAATCTATTTCTATTCCTAAGGGTGCTAGGAATTGGTCACTTATATTATAAGTCGAATTAGGCAGTTACTCCCTCTAGCAGGGACGAAATCGCGATCATGGCGTGCTTTGACTCGCACCCACCCTCACCCACACCCTCAAGGGCGAAAGAGCGGAATCGTGATTCCAGGATTCCCATGGATTCCACATGAAATTCCTCAAAATTCATAGAAATCATGAAATATTACAACTTAGGATTCCACCAGATTTCGTCGGATTCCATTCGATTCCATATGATCCCGCTCTTTCCCCCTTGAATTTTACTCCGATACATTTTATGATGCAGAAATAAATCCAATGACTGACACAATGATGTCTCAGTCAAGTATGTTAACAATTACCAAATCGAAGTAACTGTTCAAGTACCTGATGCTCATCGAAATAAATATATATTCAACAACTTTAATCCGACAGAAACCTTATTAAAATGTATTCGACCATAAGGTAATGATCAAGAATAAGCATAATGATTTCCTGACGTAGTGATCTTCCATAATTTGTCATGTTGAATCAAAGTTTCTGTCGCTTTACGTAGGTAAAGATCGCTCTATACTCTCTTAATGATTCAACTATCATCACAATTACAGATTAATAAGTATAAACAAGGGATTTCTTGATGATTGCTCAAATTAATGATAATTGAATAGTCTTGATAATGTATTGAAACTTATCAAGCGCCAATAGAAAAAGATCAAATTCATGATTAACCTTGAAGAACCATGTTGAAAATCAGATGAAAAACGATACCTTCTTCGACTAATGTGAAATGAATTTCTAATCACTTGTTATTTCAATACTTCAAACCACTTTGATATCTTATGAGAAACTACTTGTACGCGCCTATTATGGTTGTATATTAGCCTTAACTAAGAACTTGTACGGTGATCTATGCATTATCTTCAACCATATATTTAGCTTCTACATTCCATTAATCCCTTGTTATTCACTATTAAAATTTTGCGCACAACTTCATTGATAATAAAAAACATATACAATTTATTTCCACTTCAATCAAATTTTGAAAAACGGATACGAAACAGAGTCCATAATTACATAACTACCTTCTGTAAAAACAGGTTTTCTCTCAGTTACATTCGTTCTATTTTGGAATATTTCTATAGTACATGCTCATTGTATGATACACTGTTCATAAGATATACAGATCTTGATGTCAAAGAAACTGCAACATCAAGATTTCGATTAGATTAGATTACAGATTACGATTACTCCTACGATCCTATATAAAGAGGTGTACCCGTCACATTCGAGATTGGCTTCTGAAATCCAAGAAATCTAGAAATCTAGATGTCGATTAGATTAGATTACGGATTACGATTACCACCACGACCCTATATAAGGAGGTGCACCTGTCACATTCGAGATTGACTTCTGAAATCCAAGAAATCTAGATGTCGATTAGATTACAGATTACGATTACCACCATGGTCCTATATAAGGAGGTGCAAATGTCACATTCTTGATCGACTTTTCAAATGCATCGGCGTGTTGGCGCAATCCATCGTAATCCAGGTGAAATCCACCGTAATCTAGATCAAATCCACTGTAATCTTGGCGTAATCCACCGTAATCCACGTGAAATCTACTGTAATCTCGGTAAATTACAGTGTAATCTAGGCGAAATCCATTGAAAATCACCGTAATTCTAATGAAATCTATCGTAGTGGAGCTGTAATCCAGGGAATATGAATGAAACCGGTGAAAATCTACAGTAACGAGATTTGCATCCGATGGAATCGGGTCGGATCTGCCGGTCGGAATGAATCTCCTGGGTAGCAAAACATCAGACGTATTCTGCTAACATTAATATAGATTATGAAACGTGTACTAATGCTGATTGTCGAAATGATACATTAGAAATAGATATTTCGTTTGATACTCCTGTCATCTTTACTGCTCAATATATTCAGAATATGGTCGGTGATATTTTTGATATTCCTTGTCTTGATCTTCTTTTTCCCTACTTATCAAAGTTTTCGTTTTGATAAGAAAAAATGAAATAGATGCGTCATATTTTATACTTCAACATAATATCAAAGTTTTTTAATAAAACAATTCGATTTTGATATACGTATAACACGACATGTTGGTTAGTTCAAATGATATTTTAAGATAATAATGAAAAAATCTTTTCGATAGTTTAATGACACAAGTAATGATCATCAACAGATGCGTTGACGCTTTTCTGAAAGAATTTTCTTCATTTCTTTGTTTAACATTATCTTGGAAGAGTAACTGTATGCCGATGGGTGTAACAGAGAAATCTGCTGACTCACAGTGACCTACCCTCACATATGGTTGGTTACGGAATCAGATGAGCCACAACCTCTCAGAATATAGAAATGAATCGGAATGATTCTTATTGTGTGCAGCAAAGGAAGAATGTTTGCTCCAAATACTGGAAGTATGATGGCTGCAGAGCGGCGAGTCGTGAGTGGCGCTCCATCGGGGCGCCGACAAGGGAGAAGCTACTTCTAATAATATCTTTTGACGCACCAGTGGATAAAATCAACCGAATGGGCAGTGAAACCTCTTGCAGAATCGTACCCTGTTTATCGGTATTTATGGTGCTATTCGAAACAGGAGACATAGTTGAAGATGGCAACGTCATTGTGATCGGTCTGAGAAAATTATCATTTTATTTGGACAGTTTTTTTCCATTTCGATACGTGTAATAAATGCAAAGAATGATACTATAGGTGAAAGCTGTTTTCATTAGAACTGTGATAGGAATGAGGATCCTCTTTTACAAACCATTTCCGAGAACATATCTTTGTCGTTTTGGGAGGTACTTGTATATTGACGTGCAAAAACAGTCGAGAGTCAAGCGAGTCAGCGTCGACAGACGTTATTTATTTATTATTGTGAGATTGGCTCGTGTTTTTTTTAGTAATCTTGAATATTTAAGACCGATATAGTGTGTAATTCTACGGGCGTTATTTGAGTCTTAAATCAAGAGGAAAATCGCTAATTTTAAGGTCTAAAAATTCATCAAAAATATAGAATCAGTTGTTTGTCCGTTGACTTCCTCTTATATTATGACGCTCAAGGTTTAATTTTTTTTCTGTTGTTTTTAAAAAAATAATAATATCTAGTTGTATTTTTTAAGCTATCGGTTATATATTAACTTCTCTCCGACGGTTCTAGCAAGAAAATAAAAAAGATTCCATATTGTAATATTGATATTTCATTTTCTGATATTCTTTCTTGTCCGTGAAAGGCAATATTTTATACGACGTTCTTTGTTTCTTTGATCTTACCTTTTATCATCGAGTAAACTTTGTTTTATGGTCGATAATGATTCGTTTACCAAAGATAAGCAGTCGCAAATATAAAAATCTGATTATATCAAGAGGATAAATGCCACAAGAATATTAAATCCTTTTTTCACCGAAAAGAAACGAGGTAATAAATCCGTTGTTTTTTATTCAAATTGAAAGAGATCATTTACAATAGAATACAAAATATGCATTTTTATTTTTTTAATTCATTTATGAATATCTTCATTTTTGTATTTATTATTCAAATTGGATTTGTTTTCAATTTGAACAATGGTAAGAATGGGGGACGTAAATACGATTAGATTAAATCTAAAGTATAATAATTATCTATTATTTTAGAAACTGTAGCATCTGTACGAATCAAACGTTATGGTCATATGACAACAGAATATATGAGTAGATTATTTTCATTCAGTCCAACATTTGTTCGACCTAATGGTGATACAAATAAATTATATTATTATAATATGATATCAGTAAAAGTCTTAATGACAGGTGTATACTCGTTTACAAGCAAAAGTAAAATAGATACTTATGGATCTTTTCATGATGGCGCTGTAGATTTATCTAATCCTTCGAAGAGTATGATTGCATATGATGATGACAGTGGCGATCATGAACAGTTTCAAATTAATCTTAATATGCAATCCTATAAGAAATATATTTTACTGTTCACTACCTATCATCCAAACGTTACAGGGGAGTTCACAATCGTAGCTGAAGGTCCAACATCGGTTGCACTCACTCCAAATTATAATTTCATTTGGGAATCAACAATACGTAGGTTTTCCTAAAAAAAATATTTGATATATTAGTAAAAAACAATTGTTTACTATATTAAATTTTTAAATTCCATTATGTTTAGCAACAATTGCATCTACGTACTCCGGCACTTTATCACCTAACAGTCCTTCATTCTCTCGATCGTCAAATAATCTAAATAATTATTATTATCAAGCGATTCGTATCCGAGCATCAAAAGATGGTAATTATACTTTTTTCAGCAGTAGTTCAATGGATACTTATGGCTATTTTTACTCTGATTCATTTGATCCATTTTATTCTTCGAAGAACTTAATTACATCAGATGACGAGAGTGATGGTTATGGACAATTTCGAATTTCTGTTACTTTGAAATCCGAGCGGAAATATATTTTGGTTGTCACTACATTTCGCCAAAATATTACGGGAAATTTTTTGATTAAAGTTCTTGGTCCCGCTTTAGTTAATTTAAGTTCAACTGGTCCAATAATAAGTAAGTGAATACAACTAAACCATAGTTTTTATTCATAATTCTATAAATTCACTCGACATGTTCTAATATGACATGTTATGTGATTATTAACTGATTTTCTTCTTATTTTAGGTCGTCACAATGATGTTTTATCATGTAATAGTTCAACATTTTCTCGTTCTAACTGGAATAATGATACTGATTGTTATTATTATCAAGCAATTCGTATCCGAGCATCAAAAGATGGCAATTATACTTTTTTCAGCATTAGTTCAATGAATACGTATGTTTATCTTTACAAGAATTCTTTTGATTCATCTCATCCTTCTCAAAATTTGATCATATCTAACGATGATGGTGATACTAATCAACAATTTCAACTTCAAACTACTTTACAATCTCAATATACATATATATTAGTCGTAACTACAACGAATGAAGATAATCGTGGAAATTTTCAAATTGCAGCAAGTGGTTTATCATGGATTTTTTTCTGTTCAATTGCACCAACAAAAGGTAAAAAAAGTATATTTCAATTATTAATTTCATTCTTCATTCTATTTTGATATAATAGATCGTCAATTATGTGGTAATTGTATAACCACATATCCACCTGATGATGATAATAATAATAATGATAAATCATCAACAAAAATAATCATTACAATAGTTGTTCCAATTAGTAGTGTATGTGTTCTGATTGTTATTTGTTGTTGTATATGTCGATGTAGACGAAAGAAGATGATTAATCAACAATTAACATTAATGGGAACTAATCAAACTATTCGAACACGAAGATCTTCTCTAAGAGATATTCAAATAACTGAAACAACAACAAATGAAATTGATATACCTTTTACAATTCCATTAGCAAGAGTATTTGAACCTTTAGAAGAAGAACCACCACCACCATACACATCAGTTATACCACATAGTAGAGTATATGACATCATACACAAATGAAAACGATTCTTATTCGAACTTTTATGATAATGAACGATAAACAAAATTGTAATAATCATTTTTTTCTCTTTAATTCTGATATTATTTTATGTTGTTTATTCCTTCGAAAACTTATCTTTCGTAAAATAATGTGTGAAAAAAGAATTGATGATACATTTTTCTTTTCTTTTAATTATTCTTTAATGCTTAAATTTTTGTGCATGTGAAAATTAGATTCTCATATCTACGTTATTATTCTTAATTTGAAAAAGTACTAAAAATAAAAAAGAAATACTCGGTTGCCAAAAATGTTTTTCCAGGGGGGTACAGCCCTAACGACTAGTGATAGACACAATGAATTTTATACCAAAAGAAAGCCCGTCAAAAACGGGATCTAGGGGTATATTTTACTGTTCTGTAAAGGAGGGACAAGCTACAGAACTGTAGAGCTTCAGAAAATTTCAAGAATTTACTATTATTGAGACGTTTTTTCCAAGATAAATTCTGAGTGAAAACTGTTAAAGAATCACAAATACATCGAACTAATGTTTATTTTTTTATAAACCTGGTACAATAATCAATGAAAATAATCAATAATCTGTATGCCGACCGTTAGTTTTTCTGATAGCCTGTAATCGAGATGAATACGAGCATAACAGATTTTCAAAAAGCTCGTTATTTGTTTCCATATTTTCT